AGTTCCTTGTCATGCACTGGGTACTTGCGTTCAGCTGGTTGCAGCTGACGCGATCGATAACAGACGACGCGCTCTGCGCTGTCTGTGATATATTGCATCAACGCACAGCCGATAGCAAAATCGCTGGCGTCACAGACCACATGAAAAGGTCTGTCCTGATCTGCAATCTCCAGTATCGGCGATTGCATCAAGCTCTGCTTGATACCTTCAAAGGAACGCTGGCACTCAGCGTTCCATGACTATTTCACATTCTTCTTAAGTAAACAAGAAAGATGCACAGTCATCTCGGCGTGGCTGCACGAGTACTTGTGCAAGTACGCCGCTAGGCCAAGGGACTTACGGAGTCCCTCGATATCGACTGGGACTGGCCAGTCGGTGATCGCCTTGATCTTTTCGGGACCAGGGCTTACACCGTGTTTACTCACGATGCACTCAAAAAGTGGTATTTCGCTATCCGCGAATATACACTTCTTGAGTCTGGCGTACAACTTATACTTGCGCATAAGTTATAGAACCTGACGAACGTGAGTTCTGTGAACTTCAACGTTCGTCTTTCCGTCCATAGCCCGGCTATGGACAAACACATCGTCGTAGTAACTCGGTGCGAAGTCTCGCACCAGTCTCAACAGATTTGTGACACATCTGTTGAATGTTGCAGGGGCATTACTCAGCCCCTGTGGCATCACTAGCCACTCCCACAGCATCCCGCTGGGGGTGCTTGCAGCTGTGTACGGTATGTTCCGTTCACGCATGAGGATCTGATCGAATCCATCCATCAGATCCATGGACGAGAAGATGGAACTCTTTGACATACCATCTATGATTACGTCCTTCCTCGGTATCGGCGTCTGAGCCGGTACCGTTGCAGCATTCAACTTGTTGAATGCGTGCACTACCCGCCACCCTCCTGTGGCCTTTCGCATACAGAAGGTCGGAGAGATGTGAGGGGATGTTGATTCCCTCACATGGCCCGCTGCTAAGCGATCGGCAAAGAACTTGTCGATCGCTAGTACTTGTTCACGAGGCAGTGGCCACTGCTTCATGACACAGTACTTCGAGCCCGGATTGAGCTCGATCTCGTGTCGAGTGCCTTTGTCCTTGGGCAACTCGCAAGGTACGGATTCAGGGAACACATCCCTGAATTCGATCAAATCTTTATACAAAGGATTTGCCTGAAGTGACTCCCAGGATTTGGACGTGAATCGTTCAATCCGAGTCTTCTAATCGAGGACACTTTCGTCCATCTATGAACTGCTGAGAACCCGTTCTTTCTCAGCAAATACTGTAGCCGACCGAATATCGGTCACATACTCATCCTCTGTGACGAGTATGCAGATCTGCTTGACTTTGCCACTACGCAGATCGCGCAAGAACCGTTTCGGCTCTAACGTTGGCAATTGAGTTATCTCCGAAGTCAACTTCGGAGGCACAACCAGATCAAGCGTATCAGCACCTGCTCTTGATTAATCATTAATCAAGACATTCACTGTCTCGATTACTTCCTGGGAAGTCAAATCCACAGGGTCCAGGAAAGCTTTCTCCACAATGCAGTGATCATCTATATTGTGTTCTTGTACAGTCGTGCTAACGACCGTACCACAAGTGAGGCCATAGCACCAGCTCGAAGTACACCCACGTAAATGTGGGTGTTCCAAGACATTCTTCAGGTCGTCATCTGAGGAACAAGTAGCAGGCATTGATACTGATCGATGCTGCCAGCTCACCCTTGGATGGCATCTCCTGAGCCAAGGTAGTCCTAGGATGACATCAAACTTGTCATCCAGGTCAAGTACGATGAAATCATCATCTTACTCTTCATATTTCAACGTGTAGTGAATTCCGACTACACGTTTCTTCACAGTGATCGATACGCCTGTAGCAAGGCGCACCGTCATTCTCGTTGGAGGGATCTCCCGCTCCACGAAATTAAAACTTCCAGCCTCTAGTGACTGGCGACGAACAAAGTTTTTCGACGCCCCACAGTCAACTAGGGCGCGAATTGACAAATCTTTTGTCACTTCCAATGTCAAGGTGATGAGAGACACCTCACCACCAAGTGCAGAGACACACAGTGACTGTGTGTCGGGAGCAACCTTCGTCAAGAGATTTTCAATTTCTCTCGATGTTGCTAAATCGGTAGGGTGCTTCGCCCCTACTGACCCCGACCATATTAAGGTCCGCTTTGCTGTTGTGGTTTCGCAACCGTATCAGACCCTCGTTCTCCAGTTATTCTTACTGGTGGGTGAATACCGCGCTCAGCACCACGGGGTTCTAAGCGGGGAATACTGCATTCGTGTGCATTGCGTCCCAGTTTATTACAGCGATGACATTTCACCATTCGTTTGTCATTCACAAGACGAGGTTTCTCGCCCTCAACATGACAGAGGTCCATTGGTTCTGGACCTCCGATCGCTGATCGTCTTTGTGGACGATAGGGTGTGAGAGTAGTGTGAGCCTGTCTCACACTATAGTCTTCCTGATCCGCAGCGTAGATCTCTTCGGAGAGCGTCTTTAGCTCCCCGCGAAACAGGTGTTCCCGGGCAGGACCACCTGCAAGACCTTAATTGAATACTGTGATCTTCACAAATTCACTTACAGGGTTCACTACCATGCAACTTGCAAGGTAGCGCACATGCTGAACGTAAGCGCGAACCTTACGCTTACCCTGTTTGATCTCAAGGATTTCCGAGAGAACCCTGAACTCTGCCCTGGGAGGCTCAAACGTCTCAATGAGCAGGGTCTTGAAGAAGTCTAACGACACGAACACGTTCGGGTCGTGTAACTTGAGATAGGGAGCCCAATTCCTGGCGTCCTCTGCCAAGTACGACTGAGCGAATGCGACTTGCATTCGCTCGTTGTCGATGCGACGGACCTCGATGGCACCGTCGACCTCGACGAGCCATTTTAACAGGGAGTCTTCCTCGACTCCCCGATACTTGGATATTCCTAACTCTAAAGACTCCTTTCGACGCTCACGCGTCGAACTTGCGTACTCAGACTGATGTTGTCTCAGTTCTTCCGTCCGCTGGTGATCTTGTTGCTGCAACAAGGTCACCTGCGCTCGCGACTCGTCAAGTTCTCGCTGCAAGAACTTGCTAATGACGGAATGCTGCTGGTCTCTATCCCTTGTGAATAGCATGGCCCAGATAGCTTCCTCGCCAACGGTCGAACTCATTCGTTCGATCGCACTCCATATGGAATCGCTCAAATGGGAGTAGCCTTCACAAGTTCTGTGAAATTTGTCGCCTTCGACTTCGTCCAACATGTTCATTTTGGGCGACGCGAGTGTGGTCCTTGGACGGACCAACAAGTACTACCAGGTGTAACGGGGCACTGGTGACTACGTTGTGGTTGACCAGTACGGAGTTCACTTTCACTGACAACAGTGATTTTCAGTGCCCTGCTAAGTGTTGCAATAACACAGAGGAAGGAAAGGAGACTAAGTGAGCACTCTAGTCTCTGGTAAAAGTCAAGCAGTTATTTAGTATAATTAAGTCCTATCAATCTTATGTCTCTGTTTATCTTGACCTAATTATATTAATCTAACGAAACGTATGATGACGTCTACTCACCACCCATTGCGCGCGTCTAGCAGCGATTGGTGGGTTGATGTCATCACAATATCATCCAATGAGTAGATCCTTCATTCATCTCAACAATATCATCATGCTCTGTGGTATTGTTGAAAGAATATTACGTTGAATATTCTTTATTGTCACTTTATACATAGTGGCAATATCATGTAACGGGCTACCCCGCTACATACCAAGTCGGTCCTCGAAAATGTTTTACATAAATTAAAAGCAAAAATTTGACTGCGCTTGTTCCATCAACTTATTCAGATATCAGCGATATTGCCAAGGCGACAACTGCATTCTCGCAATGTCAAACGAATATCGATACAATAGACATCGGAGCAATGCAGCCTGCAGACGAAGACGAACAATTTTGGGTTTTACTTGTAAGTGAAGCTTCAAGATGATACTCCGATTTGACGGTACCTGTATTGGTATCGTCGAACGGTCAAAAAGGTTTCACCAACTGAGTAAAATTGTTGGAAGAAGTCGCTCTGTGTGAATGCATGATCGCAAGAGTCGCATTGAAGATGCGAAAGGTCAGTATCGGGTACACTGAGTGCCAGTATGCAGCGAGAAAGAGAGAAGCAGACGACGTACGGTAGCAGTCGCGACGGCATGATGCGTCGCAGTAAGCAGTCACGATGGCGTGTGCGACGCTGTGAGCAGTTGCGATGGCGTGGTGTGAGCAGTCGCGACGAGTGGAAGGATCGCGTGCCTGTAGGATTGTATGGTGCGAGCGTAGTGAGTAGGTTGCACGAGTGGTAGTGAAGAGCTAGCGAGCGGTTAACTGACAGACTGCGAGCGCGGATAGCTGTGTTGTGAATGCCAGGATCCAATTTGCCTTCTACAACGTACAATTATGTCACGTGGGTGGGAGCTAACTAGAGGATAAGGACAACGGCGACACTCTCACTTTTGCATTCAAGTGTGTCTGCTTCGGCTGTTGTGTTGCGAATTCAGCTTGCTACAGAGCTGATGTACCTTTTCCTTCTTGTAAAACATGACTGTCTGCGATTTAGTGCGATGTTTCCATAAGTAATAAAATAAGAGAGGGAAGAAGAAGATATACGTGGATGCGAATGAATCTCCCGGGCATGCGTATATTCGGTCGCATGATATACATATAACCTTAATATTCTCGTGCTGCAATTTTGCTCGTTCGTATTTTACTGGTGTATCTTACAATGCTACTCTTTGCTCTTCCATCTTGTCGCGCAGGTTTTTCATCTTGCCGAGCTCCTTCTATTTTCGTCATTATTAGGTGCATTTTGCTATCTAGCTTAACATTTACAGAAAAAGTAAGCACGTTTGCACAAAACATGTTGCTAACTTTAAACGGTTATTTTGTAAGGTACGTACAAAGCTCTTTTATTGTGCAGGAAATCTATTGGAAAACGCGCCCCCAAAGACCCCCTCGTCACAATGAGTGCGCAGACCACGTTTTCGCAGACACCTGCCTACACGACGCTTCCATGTAGTCCGACGGAGGTGGCAGCTCAAGAAGCGCTCGTCTACGAAGGTTGACGAATATCCAAAGCAATACATGTGTAAACCGGCACTGAATCCTGTGGTTTCTTTGTAAATGACATGCTCTTGTATGTAGACCTGAAGAGAGCAATCACTTTGCTCGAAACGGCCGTGAAGACTAACGCAAAGGAGAAGATCCCACGCGTTCTCCGCACCACCAGCAAACTGCGCAAGACCCTATCTGTTGCGCAGCTGCGACAAGCTGTGGGACAGCTGCTGCCGGCGCAGAACGTGTCGAAGCCAATGCTGCTCGACCTTCTGGCTCAAATCGAAACGAAGGCCTTGCATGCCGTTGAGGTGGCAAGGGGTGATGATAGTGGGGAGAAGGATGTGGAAATGACGGATGCGTCGCTGGAAGTGGATACTTGCACTGCTGTCAACACGCCTGCAGTGGTGCTACCTGTAGTGGACCTCATTGAAGTGGAAATCTACCTGTTTCTTTATGTGCTAGCAGCCCTCATGAAGTACAAAATGGACCAAGTGGCACTGAAGACGGTGGACATGGTGGTAACTCGATGTCAGCAGTTCAATTGTCGCACGCTGGACTTGATCCAAGCCAAGGTATTTACGTACTACTCGAATATCCATGAGAGCTTTGGCCAGGATCTGCCTGCAATCCGCAACACGCTTCTTTGCGCACATCGCACCTCGTGCTTGCGCTACGATGAAGCAGGACAGGCTACCCTCATTAACTTGTTACTGCGCAACTATCTCAAGGACAATCTATACGAACAGGCTTACAAATTTGTAAGCAAAACGACGTTTCCCGAGACGGTGTCAAACAATCAGTTTGTCCGCTACTTGTACTATGTTGGCAAGATCCAGGCGGTCCAACTGGAGTACACGGAGTCGTACACAAAGCTCATGCAGTCCATTCGCAAAGCTCCAGCCAACACGGCGCATGGCTTCAAGCGCACAGTGTACAAGCTCGCTATCATCGTCCAGTTGCTCATGGGCGAAGTGCCGGAACGTGACGTGTTCAGCCAGGACGAGCTTCGCAAGGCATTGGCGCCGTACCTACAGCTCACTAATGTAAGAAGCGTGCCAACGCCGACCCGGTTTGAATGATCTAACTTTTCGATTGACGTGTGTCTTCGTTTCATTTCAGGCCGTCCGCGTTGGCAATCTGGAGGATTTTAACGTGGTTTTGTCGCAACACGGGGCAGCATTCAAAGCTGACAACACCTACACGCTGATCATTCGGTAAGTCAGACAAACATTTGTTAGTTGAAGCGCTACTTATAGAACTTCGTGCTGTGCGTAGCTTACGCCACAACGTGATCAAGACGGGTCTACGCAAAATCAGCATGTCGTACTCGCGAATCCTGTTCAAGGACATTTGCGAGAAGCTCGCGTTGGAAAATACGCAAAACGCGGAATTTGTGTGTGCCAAGGCGATTCGGGACGGCGTGATTGACGCCGTGATCGACCATGAGAACGGCTGGCTTCAACTAAAGGAGACCGTGAACGTGTATACCACGAAAGATCCCCAAACGGCCTTCCAGAGACGCATTAACTTTTGCCTCGACGTGCACAACGAAGCTGTCAAGGCCATGCGCTATCCGCCGGACGCCTACAAGAAAGATCTAGAGAGCGCCGAAGAGCGCCTGGAACGTGAAAAGCAGGAAGAGGAGCTGGCCAAGGAGATCGAGGATGAGATGGACGAAGGGCTATGATCGACCACATGCTAGCTAGCTTCCATTCGATGCAAGTCTGAAGCTGCTAGATGCGCTCCACCCTTTGCAAAGATGCGGACAAATCTAGCGTTGTGCAACCGTGAATGGCTCAAGCACCCCTCTTCTTCGCTGAGGAGCTATCGAGAGTAGACTGAGTTGGTAAAACAGAAGAGCAGCAGCGACGTGTTCTCACATTACTGACTGGTGCCTGAACAGACGCGAGCTCGAGTCCTTCCCATGGTCGTATTTCAATAACTCGGTCCTTCCAATAGCTTCTCGCACTGCACTTTGCCGCAGCTCTCTCCCCGTCCTACTTCTTCTGAGCCCAGAGCGGTGCCTGATAGCGACCCGAGTGGTACGGCGACTGACCCGCCACCCAGCCAGGCACGTTCTTCATGACCTGGCGCTCCTTCGCCAAGATGTGCCTTTCCTGCTCCAGGTACTCGACGTCTGCCTCCGCCTGGAGAAACGGCAGCAGCGCAATGCGATTCTCGCGCTCTTCTTTCGCCACCTCACGATGGCGTTTGTTGTGTTGGCCCACTAGATAGTAGCCAACGGACGTGACGAGAAACGTGCCGAGAAAGAGCGACCAGCCTGGCGGTCCGCGCGTCGCAGGGTTGTTTTTCACGTATGGGACGGGCTTGAAGCCGCTCGACGGCGGCATGTCCTGGTTGGGCGCATGGAAGTTGGGCGTGGCCATAGCGGTGGGAGACGCTGCGGGTGGGTCGAGGGTGAACTGGGGTTTCCGACTGAAACGATGTGCTCCACACCAATGTTATGTGTCCACACAACATGGCCCGGTGCTCAGCAGCGTTATGCTAGTGGCCGAACCCATACGAAACGCAAGTCAAGCGAGAGGCTGTTTTCAGCAAAAAGCGCTGGAGACAATTGCTCCGCGTGCTATGGTCAGCAGCAGCATCTGCCCCACGTGCTCCTGCACCGAGATCGATGTGGTGGGCGTGAGCGGAGAGGCCGTGTGCGTGAGCTGTGGCACTATCCTCGAGGAGAACAACATCGTGTCGTCGGTCGAGTTCCAAGAGTCGGGTGGCGGGGCGCACTCTGTCGTGGGGCAGTTTGTGTCGGCTTCGGCTTCGAAAGCGTACGGCAACATCGGCACGAGCGGCCGAAGCTACGGCACCGAATCCCGCGCTACGACACTGGCGAATGGAAAGAAGAAGATCCGCCACATAGCAGGTCTGCTGAGGCTCGGAGACCACTACGTGGATTCGTCTTTCCGACTCTTTGCACTGGCGTTGCAGCGAAACTTTACACACGGTCGCAAGACGCAGACAGTGATTGCCGCCTGCTTGTACGTCGTGTGTCGTCGAGAGCGCTCACCGCACTTGCTCATCGACTTTTCGGACAAGCTGCAGATCAACGTCTATGTGCTGGGAGGTGTTTTTCTCAAGTTTTGCAAGCTCCTGCAGATTCACCTGCCGCTCATTGACCCGTCGCTCTACATTCACCGCTTTGCGTCGCAGCTGAATTTTGCAGGAAAGACGCACAGCATTGCCACGACAGCACTCCGTCTTACGGCCACGATGAAGCGCGATTGGATCGAGACTGGTCGCCGACCATCGGGAATATGTGGAGCAGCATTGCTCATTGCCGCACGTTCGCAGTCAGTCAAGTGCAGTTTGCACGACGTCATGGATGTTGTCAATATCGGAGAGCGGACGCTGAAGCAGCGGCTGTACGAGTTCTCACTTACTCCGACAGCGCAATTGACCTACGACCAAGTAGGAAAGATTGAGATGTCGCGTGTTGAGTGCGATCCTCCTAGTTTCCAGCGTCACCGCGAAAAAGAAGTGATGGAAATGTTGCTACTCGAGTCGGAAAAATTGCCGCTGAAAAAGCAAGAACGGGGGCGACTTACAAGAGGGCAAAATCATGCAAACGTCGATAGCGGGGGTAATGAAGACAAAGGAAAAGTGTGTGACAAAGGTGCACTAAACAAAAAGACGCAGCAGATGAAGGACGAGGAGATGTCGCTACGCCTGACCGGCGACGGGCACAATAAGGGGAAACAAGTGGAAAGGCTTTCTGTCGGCACTGACATAATTCCGGGAACGAAACATGTGGGGATCGACGAAGAAAAAGCTAGTGAAGACGACGATGATGGCATCGACTATGGCTTCGACAATGCAAATGACAGAATCGTTAATCGTGCGAGTCGTTTAGCAGCTCATGAAGTGTTGATTCGAGTGCGCAAGAAATCGGCTCGTTACATAATGCGCAAGCGCGACGAAGCAGAATTCTACAAGACGATCGAGCGCGATCTAACAATGGCACTAGAGGAGGACAACACAACAACAGCGGGTGTCAGCCGAATAGGAGGAGTGAGGCAATTAAACGGCATTGATGGTGAAACACAGGAAGGTACCAGCTTTGATGCTTCATTGGACAAGAAAGCAGAGTATACAGTAACAAAAAGGCGACGGTCACATGACCCCTGTAATGATATACACGAGATCAAGAGGAGATCGAGGATAAGTAGTGAAGAAAACGAGCACGATGAAGATGTGGGTGATTCCGATGGCGGGGAGACGCAGGTAGAGAAGCGGAGTGTTTGTGAAAAAGATGAAATTGAGAAAGAAGTCGTGGACACGTTCTCGGACTTGGATGACGAGGAAATCAACTCCCTGTTGTTGACGCGCGAGGAGGCAGAAAAGAAAAAGCTGCTGTGGGAGAAGATGAACAAGGACTTCATTCAAGAGCAGGTACGTACTCCACATATGTATTGCCATCGGCTTAACAGATGTGGGCTTACGTTGAAAATGTGATTTCTGCTGCGTTACAGGAACAAAAGAGGTTGCTCGGCTTATCAGCACCTGGTGGTCCGAAGAAAAAAAAGAGAAAGAAAGTACCCGATGTGAACGCTCCACCACCCGATACGGCGCAACACGCAATTTATGTGAGCACGTGTGATGTGGATTCACTCGAATTGCGTTGATAAGCTTTCCTAATGTGCGCTTTTCCTTACGCAGAAATTAAAGAGTCGAAGGATAAACTACGAAGTCATCGACGAACTCTTTGGTGAAGCAGCAAGCAACGGCTTTTAGGTAATCAGTCACGATGTGGCATTAGCGTGGCGTACAGATGGTTGCGTAGCCTGCTGAGATGGTGCCTGTGGCGAGAATTTGTGCGCAGGGACTAGCAGCGAGCATGGCAATTGTTGCGTAAAGCATATGTTTTCCACTCTTTGTGTGTGGATGTTGTTTGCAGGCTACTACGACCAACGCTTTGTAGCTCGTCTTACGGCTTCAGCCAAAACCGACTACGTCATGCACGGAGGGGGTTTATTACTTAAAAATAGTTAGCCTCTATCTAGCACTGTTAACGAGCACATGTGTACTATTTCCACTTTAGCAGGCCCGTGAGAATCATTAAAATCAAGTCTACAACATCAGTCAGCATAGCAGTACTTTTAGACCATCCAGCGGCAAACAGGCAACCTCACTGAAGTTGTTGTCACTGTATTTGGTCGCAACGGCGGTCAGCTTGGTCGGTTTTGCCAAAATGGACTGCAGCTTTTCCATGCAAGGAATAATTGTCTCCATTGCGTAACCCGTAAGCTCCACAAGACGGTATGTCCAAACGAGACTTGGCCCCTGGTTCTCGACATAGCAAGATGCTGCCAGCAAGCACGCACACGCAATGAGTGAAGGCTCGAACTTGGCTCCGAAGACAAAGTCAAGCAGTGAACACTCGGCGAAGAAGTTTGCCAACTGCTTGGTGAGCTCGTCCTCTTCGCAATTCTCCAGGAAATATCCGAGGAAGCTGTTGACGGTCGGTACAGCCAAATTAAACGCAAACGCGTTGAGAAGATCTCTTTCGCATTCGACGAGGTCTGCCTTGGAGTACGACCGCTCGCAAATATACAGCAGATCATCGATATCGCACGGATAAATCTCCTCAAATTTGGATGCAATGAGCAACGCCGTCACGCCGACAAGTTGAAAACGTTGTATGTCCACTGGTACTTGCGCGAGGTAGCGGTCGACGTAATTGACAGTTAAGTACAACGTTTGCGGCTCGAGCTCAAAACGCTGGTGTACTTCAACCAGCCAGTCCACAAGTACAGCACGCATTTGCGGCTGGACGCTTCGTTGCTCGGCAAATACGTCTTCAGTGACATGGTACCGGTGCTCTCGATCTCGAAGGTTCTTGTAGATGGAGCTAGCGTACTCGTCTATCGTGCCGGGGGAATAGATTCCTACAGGACATGACTGCACTGTCGAATGTGGAGGCGGATCAGAAACTTGCGCCTGCTTCCCAATAATATCTGGATGTGTAAGGTGCAGCGGCTTCTCGGACACACCAATCTGAGGTCCACTATCCACCGTATCCACAGCGGTATATGCCCCACGCATCTCCATGTTCGCTTCCTTTGGACCACTCAGTTTGTTTGCACACTCAGGTTCGGCGAGCGACTTTGTAAAATATATGCCCTGCGGCTCAGCAGCCTCCGTAATCGCTCCATCCAACAAGTCGCATGTACTCGGTAGCACTTTGATCTGGAGTTGCTTTAGCATTACGGACTCTCCTATCAGCCTCTTCTCGTCTTGTTTTGCCTCATCGAGGTTCTTGTCCGCAACTTCCTCATCACGTCCCACCTTCGCGTCATACCCAACCCCGCTACGACTGGATTCATCGCCATGTTCAGCAACTGCTATTGAGGCTTCGCAGCCACAGTGATCCACGGCCAGCAATGAGCTATATGCAGGCGGAATACACAGTCCGTGTAACCCGCGACTGGCAATACATGGGCCGTGCGACCCTTCCTTTACATCAACAGCATAGTTGCCATCGAATCCTGCGCTGCCACACAGACCCGCATCCTCGTCTTCAGGATCTCGCTCGACCAGCTCTGTCAAGCTTGATAGTGCATCATGTCCGGGTGTCAATGTAGACGGCGGAAGATGTGCCGTGTACATGCTAGCGCTAGCACCGTCTGCCTCTTGCTGTTTCAGCGTCCCGCATAACTTTGAGACGTCGTTTCCCATTATTTGCACCAACTCAGCTGCCTTCGTCTTAGCAGCACTTGCCGGCTTGGCAGAAAGCCTGGTGTTGCTCGTACATTTGTTGACGAACAGCAGCTCGTGCAGCCCATCGTCGTCCTCGTCGTCCTCGTCAACGGTAGTGTAGCCCCCAAGCGAGTCGTAAAACTCGCGCTGCTTCTGCTCGAGCTTCGACTCGATATCAAGGGCGACCTCCAACAAGTCCTGCGATGCATCACTGGTCCCTTGCACGACTGACGATGCACACACTTCTGCTATCTCGGCCTCTGGGTCGACACGTTTTGGACTTGCTTCCCCCTGTGGGGCGTTCCATTGCCGTCCACTTGGCTTACTCTTGCAATCACCCGCAACGCCATGTGCGATGGCAACATGTGTAGCTGCTCCAGCAGTACGTGCCCAGACCCCATCACGTGAGACAGTTTGTACTTCTTGTTGCTTGCCGTCAGAGCTGATGCTTATTCTTTCTGGTCGCTCGTCGTCGTACGTTGGCTCGGCCACGACGGTCGGGGAGAGCAGCGTCTGCCGCTGTTTGCGTTGCGCCCGCCGGTTCTTCCGAGCAGCTCTGCGCGCTAATTTGTGCTGTTGTTTCGCCAACTTGTTGCTCAGCCGCTGCTGCACGCGGCGCTCGTGGTCCTCTGCGTTGAACGCATCGGTCAGGTACTGCCACTGCGACCGGATCAACTTGGAGATGCCAGGGAACACCATGACAGGATCAGTAGGGCGCCTGACGCGAAGTGGGTGTCTGATTCGGGCTCGCCCTCCAGCAGGCGGGTGGGCGGTGGTTTCGTGCCAAAGCTCTCTCTCTCCCTCTCTCTCTCTCTCTCTCTCTCTCTCTCTCTCTCTCTCTCTCTCTCTCTCTCTCTCTCTCTCTCTCTCTCTCTCTCTCTCTCTCTCTCTCTCTCTCTCTCTCTCTCTGTACCTTATCTGCAGACCGCGAGTGGTTCCTTGACCGCTGCAGTTTCCAGGCAGATGCTTTCACTTCTGTGGGAACGTTGTGGATCGTCTCCCGGGGAACGTTTCGGCGGTCTTTCTATGGCTCCATTTGGAGCGCCTGATTGTCCGCGCAAACAACAGCGCAACCCATTGACAGCTGCACGTACAGATGCACAGGCCTTGAAGCGAGACATGAGACATCAGCGAAACAAAGGCTTTGACTTGCCGAGTATCCATTTCTTCGGGAGAGAGACATGTACCATATGCCTCCGACGAACGTATGTCGTGTGAAGGATTGTTCGGCTGATGTCATGCAGGGCGAGTACAGAGCGATCGCGAAAGGTGGGCTACGGTCTATCTCGCTGATAAGGGACCCACATATCTCGTATTTGCAACTTGTTCTCTCGGCCACTGCGTAGCTCAGGAGAGGAGAGGAGACCAGCAAAGTTGCGAGCATGCTTCCACGAACTAGAGGCAGCCGTTCTTGCAACTGTTTGTCGCTAAGCTTTTTATTGATCGGTTCGGCGAATGTGCTGGCGAAATGAACACAGCGCTTTAGTGGAGCTGGGGGTGATATAATCGAATATTTGCACAAGGTCTCTCGCAACGTTACGTTCCTAGCTCTTTCCAAAGCATATTTAAGCAACGGCTGAGGCCCAACTTTGCGTCCTGTTTGCGTTCTGGTGTTCTGGTTCAACTCATGTTCGAAGAACGTGCGCGCGACGTGGGAAGGGCGTGTTACGCTCAAAGACGTATCATTTATGCATATCTGCCCCCAGTGTTGGTCTTATTCACCTAAAACGCGTAGACCTACGCATGTAACCGGTGCTTTCAGACGCATGAGCTGAGGACTTGGACTAACCTGCAGTAGAGCCAATTACACAATTCTGTACGTACATATGCATCTACTGGGCCTGACTCCAACAGCCCATTCATGCCAAACTCGCTTACTGATACAAGGCGCTTCCCTGGTACACGAGGCCCATTATTGACGCAAGCCGTAGTAAAAGGACATGCATCGATGTCTCATTCTGTCTGCACCAGCACGCAAGACACGTCCAATCGAGGAGCTGAGCAGACCAGCCCGCTAGCGAAGAGCCAGACGAAGTGTCAAGATTTGAGTCGTGGGCAGCCGCAACGTGACCGTGACCAATGCAGCAGTTTGCAGTGCGCCAACCAGTCACTCGCTTTATTGCAACGCTGACGAACGACAGATGAGGATTCCATTGACGTATCGTCACTTCAGCAAATCTATCACCTTGCTCGACAAGGTGGCTAAACGGCATTGCAGATGAACATTGCATCCGGTCACCGTCGCAACGACAAGCTTATTGACGCCGGTTTGCAACATAAGTGGCGAGGGGGACAGCAACTCGGACCGCGGCGTGCTTGTAGGAGTAGCAGAGGTGTCTCTGTTTCCTGCTGCTGGACCCGCACGGTTTGCAGCACGATCGACTATGAGAACAAGCAGAGCTCCCGCCATGCGACACTTGGACACCAGCCTTCTTGGGTCTTTTCGCTGTCACACCAAACCATTCGTACCTTCGTGCACATGCGACACATGATTGAGTACCGCGGATCGGCGGTACATGACAGGGGAAAGCTTCTGTGAGGAGGCGTCGTAAGTGGGAGCGAAAAAAAGGGTTGGTAATTTGAGCTGACACATGTGCCTATATCAGTAGATTCGTGACAGGCTCGAAGCGGAGTGCGATGCGCCACAACCATTTCTATTTCTAAACCTTCGACATTTTCACGAATTGCGAAGTTTGTAACTCGCAAATTCAAGCGCGACCTGCGTTAACAACCAACCGCAGCAGACATGTCAGGACCCTTGGGCAGAATCATCGCGCAAGTGGTGGTCATGGGCGCGGGCATCGTGTCGAGGGCCTTCGTGCAGGCGTACCAGCAGGCCGTCCACAACGCACGCTCGGGGAACGCCGGCGCTGCGGCTGCCAAGACGGTGGTGGGCAAAAAGAAAATGTCTAAGCAGCAGGCGCTCGAGATCCTCAACTTTCCCACAAGCGGTGTACCGCCGTCTGCTGAGGACGTTTTGAAGCAGTTTACACGATATTTTGAGGCCAACGATCCGGCGAAGGGGGGCTCCTTCTATCTGCAGTCCAAGATCTATCGGGCAAAGGAGGCGCTGGAGGCCAGCGATGCGGACGAAAGAGCGCCGTCAGGTGACAAGGCGGACAATAGCTAGACTATGCTTGTTGCCGTGCTGGGCGCAACATGTTCGAGAAGTCGACATGCAGCGTGGCTTTGCAAGCTATTCGAGAAAGAAAGTGACTACAATATAGCTGGGCTTCCTCTTGGCCGTGTGGACAAGGACAGAGATTGGCGTCCTGTGTTGTGGCTGGCCGGCTGTGGACGCATTCTTGGCAACACTCTCACCTGAGGGCCTCTCATACTGCTCTGTGGTGAACCGTCACCACAATACCTTCGGACAGCTGTACACGCCCTGACATCGCTCCGCTCGACCGCTGCCTTAAACACCCTACATCGATGATAGCAACGGGACATAACGTCAGTGGCACAATACCCCGCGCAGCGTACACTTTGAACTCGGCAGCCTCAACATCGTCAAGTGCAATTCCGTACCTTCTCGTGGCTTGTTTCCAATCCAATAGGACGACTAGCTAGAACCGGACCAACCCTTTGTCGAGATCGACCTGCGTCAGGTCCCTACGGCGATCGCCACTTCTGTCTTCTCGCCACTCGCAAGACCACCTGTCACGCAATGTACCAGAACAATGGTACGACAAGTACGTGGATAGTAGCGATAAGTGCACTTTCGGCCAATCACCACAACGATGTTATCCGCTGTGCGCTCACGCGGCATCCGGATGAACGAGACGACGCGTACTGGCGCGTCGGCCACCCGAATGCTGAGTCGCGTGACGTTTGAGGAGATGGCCGTCAACGCCGATGCTGAGCAACTGAAGCTCATGGAGGAGCAGATTGTGCAGGTAGACGAGCAGGACGAGATAGTGGGCCCGATTAGCAAGAAAGATGGTACAGCTGGCACTGTTTTGCTTGCTGTTTTGTGCACTGTTTAGATAAGTTTTTTAAACGTGGACTGACTGACTGACTCAAAAACTGTATCATTATTGTAGCGCACATTTACAATGGTGTACTCCACCGCGCTTTCAGCGTCTTTGTCTTTAACGCGAGAAACGAGCTCCTGATCCAGAAGCGGGCCCGCGAGAAGATCACGTTTCCTGGATTTTGGGCCAACACGTGCTGCAGGTGTCGTATGTTATGCCTGTACGGTTTCTTGTACACATTGACGAAGCTCACTCCGCTTTGGTAAACGGTGATGTCATAGCCACCCACTGTTTACTGAAGGCGAACTTGACGACGGTGTGGGCGTGAAGCGTGCGGCCATTCGAAAGCTCGAGCACGAGCTCGGAATATCTGCCTCCACATTTTCCACTGATGACCTGGCGTACGTGTCCACAATCATGTACAAGGTATTGTGAGTGCGTGCGGGTGAAGTTGATGTCGACTGTGGCTTGCTAATGCTCGTTGTCATGCGCAGGCTGAGTCGGATGCCAACTGGACCGAATATGAGATGGACCACATCCTCTTTGCGCGCGGTGAATTGTCTTTGGACAACGTCAATTCGAACGAAGTGGAGCAGGTCGAATGGATTGCGCGCGAAAATTTACCAGCGCTGCTTGGGGACTCGACACGAAAGCTCTCGCCGTGGTTTCGCCTTATTTGTTCGAAACTGCTGCCGCGTTTGTGGGACGATTTGAACACAGTCCTGGAGAAAGACAACACCGACCGCCAAATTCACGACTATCGCTAGACAACAGGCCCGCTAATCTTTTCTTGGCATCGATAGGTGCACCCCGAAAAGCACGAGCACACGCTTATGATGATGACACAAACACAGAAAAGTACCGACACCACCGTTTAATCTGAACTCATGTGGTTTGCATCTTCTTTCGGGCCGCCAAAACATAACGTGATTTCTGACATGAAACGTCATATATGCGGCACAAGCGGTAGCGACCCATCATCTATGTACAGTGACTTCTACCGTCATCGCTTACATACTTATGTGCGCCTTGGCTTGAACAATCATCCATGACGTACATTAGCCCCGCACATATGCCGTTCCTTACGCTATTAACGAGGGAAGCAATCCATCTTTCAGTGTGAGTGATGTCCGATCGACCTGAACATCACGCACACTGCGAGAAGTTAGCCCTAAATGGAGAGGGTAAACGAATGAAGCAGTCGCAAGTGTCAGTATCACCGCTCAGCATAAGTCTTTGGGTAGCGAGTTTCCACAGTGTCTATAGAAACCTGGAGGTTCGTTCGTTTCGTGAAGTCATGTCATGTCGTCCTGTCAGCAAGCATGAAAGTGTTGCTACTATCGAATATTCGTCTTTTGATAAGAAACCGGGAAATAATGTTGTTCGAGAAAGATATACTCTGTATTGTATGCTGGACGCACGGCTTAACATATTTTCAACATCACTGTTTCACATTCCACATTAATCTCAGTGTTCTTCCTACCACTTGCTCCAGGTCTTCTATAAGTCAGTGGTGTCTTTTCTTTACTCATGGCCGACTCGACATAAAAAAGACCTGGCCAACTCGCTTTGAGCTTGATGTCAAAAATGTCCTTTTTAATAAGTTTTTAACGTATTGTCTGATGTGTGCGAAGGACTACCCGATCACTATATTGGAAAGTGTGTCGCAGGCTGCGTCGATATCAACCTTTTATTTACAGTATGAAGCACGCTCGACCATTACCACAATGAGCACGTTCTGCAGCCTCTATGCACTTTAAAATAAAGTGTCAAAAATACATGTACGATCATAGAAAAGCCTTTCGTATAAGCTCATGCCTCAAAATGCGTGCCACTTTACAACGACAAAGTAAGCCATGTACAGTGAGACTACACCAACCAATGCTGACGAAAGCGGTCAAGCTTGGTGCATATGATAGGTCTTGATCTTCCAGTATACCTTATTGAAGTTATACGACGCGGGTATCGAGTCAGGCTGTAAAGTGCATCGTGGTGCTGTTGCCGTCAATATTTAGCTAAAAAGAGCAGCCAATGGCCGAGCAGAGGGGCCAAACGTTGCTGATACGCTAAAACGTGGCACTCTCCGCTTGTACGGACATATTACAAGCTGCCACCTACACCGACACAGTGTGGGCAGGTGCCTCGAATCCCCACGTACACTGTATGTGCAGAGGAAGGATCAATATCTCAAACGAACACGAATAAGCGAAGCAAAAAGGAGGACTGTAACCGGTGTAGTAAAGTTGTATGAGGACTTTTCACTCAAGTTTATTCCAACCAAATCAAACTACAAACTACAAACATGGCACTCGCACACCACACAGTGCGCGTATCTAATAGTGACTAGTGGATAGTGGTTGATATGATGGTCTATATCAAGCAATAAGCGGAGCTGTGCTGAACGTACCTTCGACGGTAATATTCTGTCTCAATTCACTTAGCAAAGTTCACATACTGCAGAATATCATCTACTAAAATAATGTTCTCATAGACTCAATATGGTGTCAATATCTAACGGGCGCACCCGGTCACAACGGCGGCCAAAATAGCTCGCCAAATACAACAGCTTCGATATCGGAGATGGTACTCGCTGCAAGCCGCGCGCTCATGACAATCGAGTGAACGATTCGTGAAAGCAAAGACTGAAGTAGATCTCCACCTAACTTGCCGCTACTGCGCCGGACGTTTACAATATGACAATCACGCGTTCTTTTTTGGATTATCCTTTTGCAAACACATCTGCACAAGCAGTCACGTAAAGCTGACATTCTACATCATTGAAGGGTTGCGGCTCAGGTAAAGTTTCGACATGACGTGGTCTTCAGGAAGCAGATGACCGAATTGCGAGTTGCATAGGCAGCATAAGCTTGGACACTGACAACAACACAAGTTCTCGACGAAAGCCTAGTCTACTTGGCCCTTCCTTACGATATAGACGACCGATGGCCCTGTTTTGCGACAATCTAGAATATGACGTAAGTCAAGCAGTGATGTATGCCGGAGCCATGCATTTCGAGGCTTTTTTGTGCCACATGTGCGACGCAACTATCTAACACGGAAGAGACAGCGCTGCGTTCATGCGCTATCAGGTAACTACCTAAACCAATGCCTTTGTTGGATACTCCCTAGCTCTGATAGACATAGCGGTGATACGCGTAAAGTACAACTTGTGACAAGCTGGTGGCTTAATGTTGGCCGATAATGGTGATGCGTCCGGTGAAGAGCTGGCAACGCCATGTCTCGTATTTGCCTAATGTCATGCAGTACTTGCAAGCGTCCACACTTTTGTGTGGCGTGTCTCGCCATTCGATCCGGCCCCTCACAGTATGCGTCAGTGTCACCGATCGGTTATGGAGCTGTTGGCGTCCATCTCGAGACGGACAATGTCGCTCGAGGAAGTATACATGACATTGGCAGAATACGTGCGTCTCGTGAGCGAAAGTCGTGTCAAAGGACTGACTTCGACCGACTAGAAATGTTGTCTTGCTGTGGCGTTTACCATCAACGTTGTGGATCATGGCGATACCCGTGTCGAGGCTCTTCGCGGCCATCGTCGTTTGCTCCGAGAGTCGGGTGCATAGTCCGTGATGTTTTGCTGCGAAGCTGCACAGATTCGGTTCACGAACGATTGTTCGTGCTCGTGTGAGTGATAGTGTGCGACAACTCCCAACTGCCGTAAGTCAGTGTTGCAAGTGTACTCACTCGTTTTTCCACGCGCGCAACGATACCGAATCCCACTCGGTTTTGTCGCAAAACCACGACCAGGCAACTCGGAGTTGCGGTCTCGTCCACCCAACGTGTAGCAGCAGTAACCGCCGCACCAGCCGAGTCGCTCTTTTCTTACCACTAATCGTTTGTACCCGACAGTTGCCAACTGGACTCCACCTGCCACGTGCGACGTCATGCCTCGGTCGAAGAGCTCGCACGAGCTGTACTTGGACCTGCTGACGTCCAACTCGCCAGCGTCCATAGCGTCCCCAGCAGCAGCAGCAATAGCAGCAGACGATGTGTACAGTAGTGGCGGCTCGGCGCTCTCGGTGCACATGGGCGACTCGGGATGGGTGCACGAGATGAACTTCATGCGGGCCGAGACCCCCAGTCAGCTGCGCCAGCGCTTCATCCAGATCCAAGTCACGGACCGCCGGTTCAAAGAGCCGTCGTGGATGCACCCGAACATTGGCGGCGAGGCGCAGTTCGTGCAGGGACGACGGGACGAACTTTCTGCGCTGGACGAGGCGTTGCAAGCGAAGCGGACGACCAACAAACTGGGCGAGTGGCTGTCCACGTCCATCAGTGGCAACGCCATTCTCTCCAGTGTGCTCTTCTCGGCGGGCCAAACCATCGCCAAAGCTGGCAAACTGGCGCCCGTGACGCAGCTCTTCGTGATCACACTGGTCTATTGTCTTCGCTGGGTCCTCGACGAGGTCATGAGCGCCGTGCCATTGAACGGTGGCGTCTACAATGCGATGCTCAACTCAGCGTCTAAAAAAGTCGCTGCTCTCTGCGCAGTGTTTAGTATGCTGTCCTACTTGTCCACGGCAGTGGTCAATGGTGTGTCGGCCATGAACTACGTCAACGAGTCGCTCGTTGAGATTCCTGTCATGATTTGCACCATCGGATTGCTCGCAGTGTTCGCAGTGCTCTGCCTGATGGGTATCGCCGAGAGCGCTTTCGTCGCGCTGATTTTCTTCGTCTCCCACACGCTCACGCTCATTCTTTTGGGCGTATTCAGCATCATTTACGTGGCGCAACACCCTGCTATCTTTCTCGACAACATGGGCACAACACTCCCTGGCGTGACGATCTTTGGCGGCGCTGCAAGCGTTAGTAGTCTTGCATCTGCTCTCTTCTTGGGCTACGGCACAGCGTTGCTGGGCGTGACTGGCTTCGAAAGTTCATCGCAGTACGTGGAAGAGCAAGCGTCAGGCATTTTCCCGAAAACGCTGCGCAACATGTGGGCTCTCTCCAGTGCATTTAACATAGCCTACTCGTTTCTGGCGTTGGCTGTTGTGCCTTTGGACACAATCATCTCGAACCAGTCCACGTTGTTGTCGTACATGGGTCGTCTGAGCGGTGGTCGCTGGCTCGAGATTCTTGTGACAATTGATGCGTTTGGTGTACTCGCTGGTGCAGTGCTAACGTCCTATGTTGGCACGAATGGTTTACTGCAGCGTTTGGCGATCGATCGCGTGTTTCCGAGTTTTATGCTCAAAGTGAACACATGTCGTGGCACGAACCACTTCATTATTCTGGCGTTCTTCGTCATGGCTTCTAGCCTTGTGTTTATCTTGGACGCCGAGGTGACAGTCTTGTCTGGCGTTTTTGCACTCGCTTTCCTGTGTGTACTCCTCTCTTTCATCATTGCGTGCGTGTTGCTGAAGCTATACCGAGAACAAATTCCTCGCAGGAGACCCACGTCGTGGATCAACATCACTTTTTGTTTGTGTATGGTGCTACTGGGTATTTTCGCAAATGCGATTTCGGATACGAAGGCGTTGTTGTATTTCTTCATCTACTTTGCAGTGTTTTTCGTTGTGGTTATCCTGATGCTGACACGAGTGAGTGTGCTGAAGACACTGCTTTGGATCTCGAGAAAGCTAGCAGAATACTACAAAGGTGATGCAGCGCCGTCACAACAGGCTTTTGGAGGCAGTGTTACGATCGCCAAGAGGATTGAGATTATCAAGAATACGCCTGTGGTATTTTTCTGTAAAGCAACGAACCTGCCTAAAATCAACGAGGCCGTCGCGTACGTGATGCGTAATGAGCACACGTATTGTTTGCGGCTGGTGCACGTGTGTGAACCGAATGCTCCAGTTCCGCGCGAGTTTGAGCACGTGGTGAACTTGTTCGACCATATTTATCCGTCCATCAAGATCGATTTCATCGCCGTGACAGGGGCTTTTGATCCTGCAATGGTGCTGTGGTTGTCCAAGTCAATGGACGTCCCAACTAACATGATGTTTATGGGCCAACCGGCGGATGAGACGATACATCGGGTGTTAGCTTTGGGTGTGCGAGTCATCACTGACTAATCCCTACATCGGCATCCTGCTGTGATCGTTGCGACAGCGGATCAATCGATCTAGGTATGATTACCGAAGTTGAATAGCAAGGTGTCGTTTTCTGGTGTCAGTAGCACTTTGAAAAAGACAACATGGTTGTTGGAGCGGTAGGAAGGATGACCCATTGAAAGCGGATAGTACATGACGTACGGCGCTCGTCTTGCTCACGGTTGGATTGTTAGCTCGAAGGTCAGCCAAGCAATCTCACGCCGGATGACTACGTTTCACCCCAGCAGACCAATTCTATCAATCATGTGGGGTGAAGAACGTATCGTTGCAAGTCAACCTTCCGAGTCCGATCATGGTAGCGGTCGCAATCGTGGCATTGCTGTTAATTCTGCATACAGCCAACCAGCAAAGTGTGTATTTAACTAATAGAGAGACAACCAAACAGTTGCTGCGTATGCAACTTACGGATAGGGCTGAGCCGTATGTGCATTCCCATTGCTCGCCATCTCTGTTGTAGTTACACAAAAACGAGTGTTATGGTACGGCACGATTGCAACTAATACGGAAGAGTCTACGGCCCATGGCCGATTGGTAACATACGACATGTGCAGTTATTTGGAAGCAGCAACTTTGTTGTGTGATGGCCTGCGGTAAGTCCGACCGAATTCGAACTTGCTTCAATTCCTACTGAAGGGATCTTCCTTCGCGTTAAGTAGTGTTGATGCTATCGAACTTTGTCGACGTCGTAAAGTAGGTAATGATCACCTCATGCATCGCTGCAACTGAGCCAATCACAGTTGGCCACGTGAGGAGACCGGACTCGTGTGGCGTTCAGTGTCCACAACAAAGCCATTTAGGGTGCAAGTGGCGGCATTGCAGCTTGGTCGAACACCAGAAGCCTTTCTCTGCGAGAGGTGAATCTCCACCAAGACTCGGGAACTTGTTGCGTGCTGTAAAACGTTTTTTACGCCCGCGCATCATCGTAAGCGGCTGGACGAGAGCAGATAGAGGCGTCATGGAAAAACGGCCACGTGCTCCTTGCGGGTAAATGAGCCACATGCGTCGACGAGTAAGTGACCTGGACCGCCACCTCTGCCATGGCACAAGTAGTTCTACAGGTAACAACAAGAGAAGGCTGACAGAGATGGCTTCGTAGGCAAGCCGGTAGAGGTCCGTAGCTTGTCATGCAGTAGTGCCCTGTTCTATTGGATTCGGGACACGGCTCCGGGAGATGTGGTGTGCGGCACATAAACTTCCAGGTCAACCCCGCATCCATCACATGGGCAGAAACCTATACTGCATGAACAAAAAAGGCACCCAATACTGAGGTCGCCACTACAGAAGGAATACTGCGACCGCATCAGGACGGTGGTGACCTTCTCCTGTACACAACACCATCATTTTGGCACGCTTTCTCTTACAAAGCCCTCGGCAGCGTCCGCGTCGTCGGGTATACGCTCTACAACGTAGGCTCGACACTTACGGCGTCGCGCACATTCTGCTAGTTTGTTGTGCTTTCACACAAGACACACGACGTAGTCTAACGTGCTGTCAACCGCTACAGGATGTCAGCTTTCGCCTGCACCTGCTTGCTAGAGCCACGCCACAGCAAACAGAAGTACTCCAGGAATAAACCTTGGCGCAGTCCCATAACGTCGAGCTTTTTTTCACGGGTACGGCGCAAGTAGAGTAGCCCCTTGCATGCTTGCGGTACATGGCAAGAAGAGACTTGTCTCTACGATACGAATGCTGCTTTGATTATCTGGGCCACCTCAATGCAGAGGACAAACAGACGTAGCAGAAGACGTTCACGCCACCCCACCTTGCATCCGTATGTCGATCAATACCCATCCGCCGTAAATGCTCAGGCATCGTACGCCTGCACTGCGCAAACAATCTCGGAGAACTGTACAAGAGCATTTGTGAATATTTTGTTGCATCTTAAGTAAATCTGACTCGAGTTAGGGTGCTACCGACTCACATGATGCATGCGGCGTAATCAGTCCATCGCAGCAGCTTTTGGGGCGACAGGCAATGGCTAAATTTATAGAACAGCTCACTGCGTCGACATTCGCGCTCGGACCCGATCAGCGACACACATCTTTGGTGAGGAAATAGCGAGAGCAGAAAAGTGTGGCGCTTCAGATGGCATTTTGTTCCGAGTTTGGCATTCCGAATGCCGTCGGGTGCTCTCTACATGGCTCTGTGTTGATGCTGGAACTGCTTGACAGTAAAGGCAGAATGAGTGAGTTACACACAGGTACAGTTGGCACGCACTATTACGTTGACGCAGACAGTAGCACCCTCTCGTCGAGGTCAAAGCCTGAGGCCGCAGTCTGATCGCCACAGCTGGATCGTATCCAGATACTGCGCAGCAGTCCTCGGCTATACCTATGCACTGCTGAGCTGCGCTGTGCTTACAACTGATACGGATCGTCGAAATGGATTTGGTGGTCGTGTGATTGGCACTTCTCAACTTGCCGCTTGTAGAATTGCCACAGAGTCACGGAACCCTCGAGAGCTCCAGGAGCCATGTCGACCCTCTCAGTCCGCGCATCTCTCGTTGGCGTTGCCGCCTTGTTGGCGTTTGCAGCTGCGCTTCAGGACGGCTCGAGCGTCTCGTGGCCATCACTGGAATTTCGCTTCTCGGTCAAGCGGGTGGCCACCCAAATCCATGGGTACTCTGACTTTTCCGTGTTCGCCAACCCGAGGGTGTTGTCCCGTGCTACCACGCACGTGCTCTACGACACGTTCACCTCGTTCACCGAAGACAATACGGTCTTCAACTACTCCCTCGTGGACAGTGTAGCGTACGTCTGTCGCGAATGCCAGGCCCAACGGGGTGACCTCTTGGTGAGCTGCATGGACGCCGATACTTTGCCGCCGATCAATTCGATCGTGACAGCACTCTGTGACGCCAAGCCTGCTTCGAAAATCACGGCGGGTGATGGCAGCGTGATCCCGTGCACAAGTGGCTACTCCTACAAGGTGTCGGTGGACGGCGTCGACTTTGGTATGTGTTATTATGGGTCCCGGGGGTTCAAACTGTTTGGCAGTGACATGGACATCAAAGTTGAGTACAAGAAGAAGCGCCTGCCGATCCAAGCACCAAAGCTCGATGACCGCGCAAAAACGGACTGTGAACAGGTGGCGATGCCAAGTCCAGTCACATCGATTGGAGAGTCTTTCTTGACTGGAAAACCTGTTTCTGCCGAAGAGCGAATTCTGGAGAAAGCGTTTGGTGTTTTCTTGAATGATCAATGTTCGTGCCAGTCCACGCCGCGTCCCTGCCTGTTTATCCACGGTCTCGGAGTACATGAGGAGAAGGAAGAAAACGTTGACTCGTTCGCGTACTGGGGCAATTTGACAGGCCACACACCGTGTTGCACATCGATCAAGTACACCAAGCTCGACACGATGAACAGTTCATGGACCGACAAACTTTTGCAGGAGAAAGTTTGCGATCGTGCATTATCGGTGAGCAACTCTAGCTACGGATCTACAATTGCTGATACCATCATCATTACGCACTCGATGGGCGGCCTCATGGTGGCTGGCGCGATCGCCAACAAAAGGTGCAAGCTCGCCAATAGTACGACCTGGGTGACCGCTGGATCACCGTTACTCGGAAGCATGGCGTCGGACTACGTTCAACAGTCCTGCAAGAACAACACCAATCTTCTTATGGAGACCTATGCTGACCGGACACGGCTTTGCCCCGCAGGCAAAGGGATCAAATCGATCGTGTACCAAAATGAGAGCTTTTGTTCGCTCAATTTGAATACGCAGTATAAGGCTGCACAGAAGGCTTACCAACGACACGTGTACGCAGCAATGTGTAGCAACTCGTACATCGGTGTCCTCTCGTCGTACCAACTTCGTTTCTGGGTCGCTGGCAGGCTTATCCCGCACAAATCACTGGAGAATGACGGCGTGGTAGAATTCAGCAGCTGCGCTGGTGGCATTCCAGTGAGTAAGTTCGGCGACGACTACCGTAATCGCTTCTACGTGACTGGGCTGAATCATTTCGACGTATCCTTCAAAGCGGGCGACTCTCTTCTGGATAATTCTAAGATGCCAGTGAAGTGGTTCGAGTGTCTGCTGTGAAGGAGCTAGCTAGCATCTACGAGTTGCAGCAAAACGTGATACCACCCAATCGTTGCAGCAGTTCGTTTGACAGACTTCACATTGTGATTACACTTGTAGATAGACTACGCGCCACCTGATCAACTCGCATGGCGTTCCAATGCTTCGTGGCGGTCAGCGCAAATCGATGACAGGTGACACACCGTCCTACGTCGATGAGTCGCGCTGTTTATCGACAATAGTCAAATGAGATGCAATATGTTCATTGTCATTCAGTGCAGATGAGCTGCTTCTCGAGAAATGAGATCGATAGGCAATAGATCGACTGTCGTCTAGGCAACGCTATCACAGGCACAATTTGACTTTCGGCAACGTATGGATAGTAGTAGGCTGCATGAGAAAACACCTCTTCTCATGCGCAAAGAACGTCGAACTCAGTGCGTCGTGGAGACGGCGGAGACTTCGGCTCATTCGGTTTTTGCTCTGATTGAACGGATAGTTGTCTCCAAACTCCATTGCCATTGTCAGACGCCGTCTGACATTTCAACTGCCTACTCAGCCTCCCGCCGCAATCAAATAAGCTATCCAATGATTTTGCGAATTTAGTTTTCTTGTGGTAGTTGCGGTCACGTGACGGAGGCTGTAGAAGTAGATAGCACAAGTTGTTAGCAGCTCAAGATGAATGACGTGGTACAGGTACGGCACATTTTCTGTGGCCGCGCGACGCTGCCATACTTCGCCATTTACACACCTTCATCCCGCAAAGACAGTTCAGAAGATACCACTTCTTCTCTACGGCAACCCAAAGTGTAGCCCGCAATGATTGCCATCATCTCGTAGCTCGAATCAAGACTTGAGATATGAATTGCACTGCTATATCAACATATTAGCGACTGTAGCTGAGTGAGAAGGACTCGAGAGGGGCACTACAAAGCTGCTCATTCCGTGGGCGCGCCGTCATATTGGTGCGCTAACGACCGACTACTGCCGATCGACTTCTTTGCACGACATTACATTGGGCGAGCGGGTACACTTCTGTCAAGACTTTGGGAGGAAACAAGCAAGAGACCTGCTCCCTTGGACCAGTAGTCTGATACTCGCAAATCAACAAGCAATGATGTGATGCCCTGCAGACAGCTGACAACCCTTTGGTCGATCGCTGCAGTACGCAAATACTTCCGCCCTTTTTGCAAATCGACCGAAGATCGCACAAGTGTCCACGCGCGGAAGCATGACGACACGCGATAGCCACATCGGTGTGGACGCGCAAAGGAATGGCGACGAACGGGCTCTCGCAGAAGTGGCGGAGCCGAGCACGAATAGACATTGTGGTGCTCTTTGTCACTGCTTTGCTTGCACCTTAGCAGCACCTGCTATCACGGATCATGCGCCAATAACGACGACAAGAAGCGTTGACATTTACACGTACGTGACATCGACCTCCAGAACATCATTGTTGTGGTGTGCACTTGGTCAGTTTGCCAGGTGCGCGGGTAGCAGGCTCCTCAACAACAGCTGACAAACGAGACCGTGTACGTGTGCGTGCAAATGGCCAGTCAGCATGCCGAGCGTACAACCTGCTCGTCGACTCAACCTGGCGGCCCGAAACGGGTCTCCTACGGCCCATACCCAGTAGAAGTGCACCAAAGCACGAAGACAAGTGGGCCAAGAGATTGGTTTTCTTCCCCTCGCACGAGCTGACAAGGTTCGCTTGATGAGAGTCTCATGTGGTACTTCGGCACTTGACACATACTGCATGTTAGATGTACTGCTGTATGCCGAGTACAACACGATACCGTACACGCATCAGAGCAGCAGGACTTGACCAGCAACACAACTGTTTTTACTTTCGCTCGAAAGCTCAAATGCTGGTACAGTGTCATGCCGTGATAACACGCATGCCGGCTGCCGACACACGCTCGGCCGAGAGCAAGTCGGGCTGTGTGATAAACATCATATTGCGAGGCACGTTCATGGACCGCGATAGCCACGTGATTATTGCTGGACCAAACTCGCCACGCACTGCCACAAAGTCCACGCGGATCTTCGGGTACATCGAGTCGAACAGCGCTACCATCTCACGGAAAGACGCGAGCACAGACGCGTCTCTCTCTTCGTCCTCGAAAACGTGCACGATACGCAGTGTGTGGGTCTGCTCGTTGCGACGTACGTAGATGATAGCCTTGTTGATGATCGTGAGGTCTGGGATCTTGCAGAAGAAAATGATGGGAGCGTTTCGGATGCTGATAATGGTGCGAGCAATAGTGCGGCCTCCGCGAGCTCCAGTGTGCTCATATTCCGACAAACCGTTTGTCGCAAGACCAACTGCAACAGCTTTGCCGTAACGCGAGGGAACCATTGTCTTCAGCAGTATCAAAGCGAAGCGTAAGATCGTGACGCGCTCGAACATGATAAACATCACGACTATCACGACGATGAAGTAGATAGCAAAGTACATCAAAACCTTGGGGTCCCCCAGGAGATTCGCAAAGATGGCCACCACAACCAGGAGAAAGCCAAGGATCACACTAGTCCATGGCGCGTGTATGTCGCGAGGGATCTCTGGACGCTTGCCCTTGAGCAGCATACAGGCGCACGAAAACATCGCCATCAGTCCCAGGAAAGAGTAGGTGTACACACCATTCATCGTGCTGGCGTCGGCATTCAGTATGAGCACGAGACTCGACGACAATAGAAAGTAAATGCCGATGATGTAGTGATTGGTACCGCGTGCCTTGTTCGTCTTTGCCAGAAACGCCGGCAGCACTCGGTCCGTGGACAGACGGCGAACGAGGCCGCAGATACCAACGTACGAGGTCAACACTGCACCACTCAGCACGATGAACGCGTCAATGCTAATCCACGTCTCGAACCAGCTCCCCACTGCTTTTCGGCTCACCATCGCAAGAAGGTCCGACGAATTGTTGTAAATGCCGTCGTCTCCTTCGAGTGGCAACACGGCAAGAATCGCAGTACTGAGTCCGACATTGAAGAACGTGACGAGGGCCCACATGTTGCGCAGAGTCTTGCGAAAGATACCTGGAGCTTGTTCCTCCACGTAGTTTGACGACGACTCAAAGCCGGTAATGCCCAGCATCGACGCACCAAAGCCAAAGAAAATCGCAGTCGCGATGTTGCCGTCAAGCATCGATCCTGCAAAGTCCACCTCGGGGTACTCGGCGTGCATGTTGTCGCGAAAGACATGCGGGTGACTGAACCAGTAGACGATGCACGACACAAAGAGGATCGAGAGGACTGCCACGTGGTGCAAAAAGATCGCGACAGCCACGCGGGAGCTCTCCGTGATCCCCATCACCGCCAAAAGCGCGAACGCGCCCAGCAAAAGGATCGTCGACCCAACGATCGGAATCGTCACTTGGTTGTTCAGGTACCGAATCCCGGACGTGGCCGAGACGACTCCCGTCGCAACGTAGGACAAGATACTGAGACACGCCGCCACAGCTGCTGAGCGCTTGGACGTTGTATTTAACAGGGCGTTGTACGTCCCCCCGTTCATGGGGATCGCAGTCACCACTTCTTCGTAAATGAAGCGAAAGAAGTAGAGCACAATGGACACGATAAGCAGCGGAATGGGCATGAGTTTGCCCGACTTGGCAGCCACCGACGACGCCGAGTACAAGACGCTCGAGAGGATGTCGTTGCCGGAAATGGCAGTCGCTGGGAGCTCTCCCAGCAACTTCTTGGGCTCGTTGAGCTCCTCTTGAATCACGTGGAGCTCGTGTGGCGGCACCTGCACGTACTCGGACGAGCCCGCGCCTGGAAATTGCCACGTCGGACCCATCCGCGCGCCTTCCACGATCTCGATCTCGAGTTTACGTCGACGCATGTTGACAGCCCGAGAGCTGGTCCCAGAGCTCGGCAGTCGAGGCGACAGGACTTCCATATAGGCTGCAGACGGCACCGCCTGGAGGCTGTGGTCGCCTTCGTCGCTGGCACTTGAGCCCATGGGACTGCAGAGGAGCTGGAGACGTCAGCGAGAAGAGTCGACGGGACTCTGACGATGCAAAAAGTAGAGTGACACTACGTGCAGATCTTGCGCGTCCAACGTGGTGTTAAGTGAGCTCAATTCCAGCACTTGTGTCGAGGCGGACGTTTCGCACTGCTGTACCGCGTGCGACGACTGGGTACTCTCTCTCTCTCTCTCGCTTGAGCACCAGCTGATCTTTGGATTCGGCGGCGGGCAACAGTAGAAAAACGTCGCACGTCTCTTTGGACCACAGATGCCGATTCCAGATGGCGAGCTGCAGATCGGGCGAGAGGACGAGGCGCTCGACAATCCCACGTCGCACCTCAGCACCAAACGGCAGCAAGTACACCAGTCACGAGCGTGTCTTCCCGTCTGATTCGCCAGCTGTCGACTGCCTCGTCTCATGACAGAAAACGCCGCGTTCATTGCAGCGACTGATATTCCCACCGGAGTTTCCCCCATAATGCACCGATACTCGACGTTTCGGATGTCCACGCGAGACCGACCAATTATGCGTGACCTAAAACGTTCCAAGAGCTTGTCAGCTGGTGCCATGCGGTACGAATGCATGCGGTCGATCCTAGACTTTGCCTACCACTCTACCATAGTTATCTCGCGCAAAAAGATAGCGTTTCTAAGCTTTTTGCTGCCTTGATCGGGATATATGGCTTCGAGGAAGAACAGCCTTCCATAGGTATCGACAATCGTCCAGCTCGGCAGAATTTTTTCACAGGCAGGGGTTGCGACATTCTGATCTTGCTCTTTAGGTGCACGCATACGTGACAGCCGATAATCTGAATTATCGACTCGCAAATTGTTTGCGGAAACAGTGGTCGATCGCCGTGAGATGGTGTGAAGTCTGACACGCTTCTGTGTCTTGTCAACGAGGCTTTCGATCGACACTTATCACTGCATGTTAACATGAGTTGCTTTGCGGAGTCCGTCACAGCAACTTGGTTTGCTTCGTATCAGCAGCACATAAACGTGAGCTGACTGATATTCGTTCGATTGAATCACCACGCAAGCTTTATGTGCGACAGGGCGGTCGACAACTAATCGGATCAGAGGCCATGAAGAAATCCAAGATCTTGGCATCAACTGCAGCCCGCAACGGCACCGGTCATCGGTAGTTATTTGAGCCGTTAGTGTACATTACGGGGGGGGGAAGCATGCACGAGTTAATGATAGTCGCACTATACCTCTTCTTTTGATAATTCTACGACGTTAGCATTGTCTGATGCATCCATTACCTAACCCGTTGCCGCATATCCCGTTGATAGGAAGCCGCAACGCGTAGCACGATCGATCGTGCGGATGCAGCTGCAGCCACTGGATTGTTATACGAGACGCCCAGTATTGCGTCGGCTGCGTCGGGTGTGCGCCACAAAGACAGCAGCGCACGGCCGCACATTCTTTGCATTTGCACTTTTATTACCCGTGGATATTGTTGAACCGTTCCGTTTATTGCCAATTATCTTTCTCCGCCACATTGTACAGCCATTTGCTGATCGTAGCATATGCAACAAGTTTTCGCACCTTTGCGCCTGACTTTAGCTCGGCCTCCGTCGCATAACTTCCGATATTGGCACTTTGGGTCTTGCCAAAAGTTGTACAAATATCAACTAACGACAGTCAAAGTATGGCATTATATAGGACACAGCATTCCCAAATCGCATTAGCCATCCTTGCATGTAGCGGCCGTGGTTTATGCAAAGGTGTGGAACGCATTTCTGGGTGGTGGATTGCCCACTGTTCAGCGATGAACGCATCGTCTGCTTGCTCCTAATTTGCACTTCTCTACTGGCGAAAATTGCTCTTTGCGGTTTCGACGAATAGGAGCGCAACACGTGGCATAAATTGAAACCGGTCCGCACCTCCTTCTACCACATTTGTTAGTATTCAACGCCACGAAAATGTCACGAGCCGTGTGTGAATGTGCTAATTTTTAATAGCTTTTGTTTGCGGGTGCTGCTCGAGAATATGCCCGAATACAGCAGTAGCCTTACCGAGAGGGATTGTGTCTGTACTCAGCGTGTGATGATGCTTTTGTCACATTGCGATACAAACAGTGTCTCACGTACTACACGCTGCATTTTTTCATTGCGGCGATCTCTTTTGCCAAATCCACGATATTGAAGCATAGTGCAATTGGAAATTGGCTTCGCAGTCTCGAAAAAGATGGAACACTCGTAGTACAACAGATAGGATGTTTCGTTCTCACAACGCACTGCAGCAAACCGTAGAAGGCCGCACGAATGTGTGCACAGTCGTGAACACTGGTAACATTTTGAACGCCGTTGCAAAAGTGATCGAAAAGCAGATAGCGCAGGAAGTATTTGGTACGTTTCGCGTCATTATATAGTGACGAACGTCGCCTCAATCCACATCGATGTAGAAGAAGACTGGGTCGGTACGTTGTGCTTTTCGGTATTGCGCCCCCAACAATGTGTCAACGCTACGATCAACTAACGTGCTTGTAGCGCATCAACGTATTTACCAAGATTGACTTGGTTCGCACATTTAGAAAAACACGCGAAATCTACACCTTATATTTTCTGGCGATTTGGTATCGAACGAGAGCGAAATCTTTCGCGAATTGTAACAGTACAATTTACAAAAACCTTTTCAGAAGCCCATCCCTCAAAAGTGTAAACAGCTTCCGACAATGGGCGTCAAGAGGCGGGTGCTAGGGCCCGAGATGAAGTCGCTGCAGTACTTCTTGAACCGAACGGCCGTCCTGAAGCAGTACCGAGAGTTTCTCCGCGTTTCACAGCCGTTGGCCTCTGAGGTGCGGCTGGACGTGCGTCGTCAGATTCGCGCTGGCTTCGACGCCTGCCGCAACGAAGAGGACGAGCAGCGCGTGTGTCTTTTGCTGCGACAAGCACGTGACCAGATACAGATGGTGAGTGACTTGGTCGACACTGCAATGGCGCAGCAACGAAGCGAGCGAATACGGGAGAGAGATGACCGATTGGCTGCTGTGCGGCGGCGAGGAGGAGGACGAGGAGGTGCACCAGCCGTCACGTCTGACACGTGGGTGGAAACGCCATCGGAAGATGCAGATGGTAAGGAGGACGTCAAGGGCCGCGTAGGCACCGGGTGGCCATGGAAGAGTGGCAAAGTGGCCGACAAGCTGGATCTGCTCGGAACCAAGCGTCGCTGACTGAACTACCGCCTTGTGAAGGAGGCGCTGGGCAGTTACTCGACGGCATTGACGGAGACGAATGGCGCTATGGTGTCAAGAGTAGATGGGGTCGGCCTTGTCAGTCTGTATTGATCATACCGCCGCGAACCTGTACAAATAGAGTTTCCGAGCGTATATACAGTATGCGGTTGTACACGATGCAACTGCTGGAATGCGTAGTTTCGCCATCGATGGGAAATGTACTCTTCGATCTTCGCGTAACACTGCGCGTACGAAATTGTCGCTCTTCGGTTTCGGCAAGCAGGCTTTCGAGGCTTGTGCTGGCAAATTTTTGAATACCACAAAAAATAGTCGTACAAATTTCAATATAAGAAGATAGATATTCGCTCACTGTCGCTTTATTGTCAGATCGATCGTACCGAATTGAAACATGGCAAGATCGTATGCGGTCTGACAGTACCCGTACATACCGATCGCGCAAGATGAACGAATACGAAAGAAACAAATGCATCGTCAGCCAGAAGAAAGATAAGCGAACTTGTAGGTGTCGTATGCGGGTTTTCGTCTGTTTACTGCGCTCGCAACTGACTCGAACGGGCATTTAGTTGCGCGCGTCGACGTGCAATTGATCGATCAGCCCCGAGACTACGACTGACGACAAAGAAATGGCGTCGTCTCCCGTGCACGCCGGCAGTCAGACATCGCTCCTGAAGGTGCGTGCGTCCAGACGTACCTGTTAGCTGCATCCTATGGTAAAATACACGATAGTCAGCCACTTATGCCGTCTGACCACCTGTACGCGTTATATGCGTAGCATACGAAGGTCACTGTCAATTCGGCGTATACGGCTGCACCCGCAGTGCCTGCGCTCACTGAAAATCTGCTGCAAAGGGTAAGTACCACATAGTCAAAAGGCGGAATTTTCGATTCACGAGTTTGTTTGCAGGACGTATTCGACTACGACTTCAGTCGCGAGCGCGTGTTCCTGGAGATTGCTGAGGCCGAGATCGCTGCTATGCGAAACGCTGAAGAAGAAGAGAAGGCAGCAGTCGCAGCGCGACAGCAGAACGGGTCGGACGACGAGCTCGTGCGACAGGTACAGTAAATGCAAAAGTTGATGATGACTGGTTGACGTGCCTAAAATATATCTTTGTGGGTCGTTGTGCTCTGCTTGTTTGCAGAGCACGAAGTTGTCACTGTCGAGTGATGTAAGTTCTCCCAGACGCCACGTCGGCTATTCAGCCAAGCCTCGCAGCTCTAGTGAAGAGGATGTTGCAGCCGCGATCTCAGCCTCTCTGCGCGAATACTAATGACGAAGTCGACTCTACTCTACTCGGCTCGCTGCTTCGCTCTGCAGATCAAATGGCACGTCGTCAAGTTTGCACTTAATGCGCAGCACTTATCGCACGGGATTGCTCGGATGCATCATGTTGTACGCAAGCCAGTACAGCCGACCGTAGTTGACATACAGCTCCTCTCCTGGCTCAATGTCTCGCATCGCAACGACATTGGCCTTGTTGTGCTCAGGTCGCTTGTCAAAGTGCACGTTGAAGCCTCCGAACCGTCCTCGGCAGTCGTTGATGTACCGAGCGAGAACATGTGGGCAGTGCAGCGTGTCCACGTACTTGCCGTCGCCCAGTTTCATGAGATACGACTTGTCCTTGAGCTTCCACGCGGACTCGTGCGTGGGCAGCACCTCTCCCGTGTACTCACAGATGACGGACCCTCTCGGGTGGCGTCTGGTCGCAAACAGTCCCTTGCCAGCCCGTGGAATATTCGACTCGCGCACCTCAACGCCCGGGTCCTCCTGGTCGGACGTAGCATGTCGGAGGTAGTAGTACGACCGAGGTACGCACAACTCGGTGTCGTCCATCGAAATCGTTTGTGGCGCGGTCGTCGTACCGGTATCACACCGACTACCGATTGGTTCGCATTCGACGGGGGACTTCAGTGTGTGCCATACTGACCTGCCCAGCAGCGAAAGCAATGACATCCACCCGCAAGTTCTGCTGCGACGACTTGTTCCGGTTCAATAACGTCAACTTGGACGTGCTCACGGAGACGGTACGGCACTTTGACACGATGTCGTAGTCGTTTGTAAACAGCTTTGCGTTATGACGGCAGTGAGTGACGAAGTGTTCTGCGTGGTTGACACTTGTCAGTACAATTTGTCCTTTTACCTCCGGTATCTGTCCAAGTGGCCGGACTATTTCCTCGTACAGAAAGACCCCAACGGCACCATCATGGGCTACAGTATGGATCGATATTCCTGCTCTTTTCATATGATCTGCACGTCAGATGACGGCATGAGGCCGTGTCGCTCTAACATGTGCCCTACTTTTTGGTGCTTCTGCTTCGCAGTCATGGGCAAAGCTGAAGGACAAGATACCGATTGGCACGGACACGTGACGGCAGTAACGGTCGCTCCGGAGTTCCGACGTCTTGGTCTGGCCAAGAAGCTCATGGACTACTTGGAAAACGTGTCTATAGAGCTCTACGACGGCTACTTCGTGGACTTGTTCGTGCGCGTTTCCAATTCGCTGGCTATTGGAATGTACGAAAAGTTTGGTTACTCAGTCTACAGGCGTGTGCTGGGATACTACTCAAGTGCAGAGGACGGAGAGGACGCTTTTGGTACGCTGTGGTAGAGCTGGGCATAGGCTGTCATCAAGTCTGACGGGACGCGCTTGTGTTGATAGATATGAGAAAAGCGCTTCCTCGAGACGTCGATAAAAAGTCGGTGATCCCGTTGCCGTATCCTATCACACCAGACCAATTGTAGCCACATCGTGGCTTTGCTACTCTGCAACGATTGGTGGTCACTAAGGAAATGGCATTGCGTTGATAATCCGACGCGCGCAGAGTATACGATGGATAGACGATCCGAAAATGCGATGTCTCGACGAGTCGAGTGTTGAGTCAATGGACTGTGTAGGTGGCAGACTCTTGGTCACGGGTGACTCGCATGCATTTCCATGACTATGTCGGTGCATTGGTTGATGAATGGATGGAAACTTTGGGGTTGCAAGGTCGTTCCGAACTGTGCAATTGATCGGTTCATACATGGAAACGATTGAGCCGAAGACATGATGGTCGATGTCAAGTGGAGTGTAGCACTCATTCATATCGATCATTGGTTCAGCTCTTCGATCTGATGATACGTTTGACGTTAAGCGTAACACCTCATGGTGGCAGAACAGATAAATTTTGAGCCGTTGTCTATATCGCCAAGTCATTCGAGAGCTTCGTGGACGTCTCGAACCCTCAACGCAAGCTCGACTACACAATACCAACAGCTTTAGCCCCGTCATGTCAGAAGTCGTAGCTACACGAGTGTCGAGATTAAAGTTACCGCAGTGCTCGAAGAGCTCTGACATGAAGAGTCACTTGCTTATTGTCTCAGAGTTCAGCACGGCCAGACAAACGAGTGCAGCATTACGAGGCGTCGTTTATGTTGCAAGCCTATGACGAAGCTATTAGCGAGCGTGCGCTAGTCCAAAGCCAAACTTGTAACGGGGCACACCCTTGCGTGAACTTAACGCAAGGGTTTCGGTGCGCCCGACAGACGTACACGAGGCAAACGAGGAAGCGTAGGTAAGGTAAAAGTAGAACTATTATATTAATATAATTAAGTCTAACCACTGCCTCTCTGTTTGACTTAACTTAATGATACTAATCTAACTGAGTGTATGGTGACGTCTCGTCACCACTCATTGCGCGCGTCTTGCGGCGATTGGTGGGTTGATATCATCAAGATATCAACCAATGAACAGACTCTTTGGTCGACCCTTCAATATCACCACCATTGGTGATATTGTTAAAAGAACATTCAACATAATATTCTATAATTGTCATTATCTCTCAAATGACATTTTCCATGTAACGGGCTGCCCCGTTACATCACCCCCCCCCTTAACTGATAGTCACCATGTGACAATCAAAAATATGGCGGCTACCCGTTGGGCACCATTGGGACAGGGAGCACTTATGGTCCGTTCCATTCACTTTCCGCTTGACCTCGCATAGTTAACATGTCTATGCGAGGTGACTCAAGACCCGCACAGCCCGGTGCTGTGGTAGCCTCTGCGGCAGACGATTCGTCGTCTGCTGCTCGTTCTCCGCCTGCAGCAACAGGTGCACGCGGTACCACACCGCGTGCACATGATGACCCCGACATTGAGGTCATCTACTCTGGCGAGTCAGACGTGTCTGACTCGGGCAATGGTTCGAAAAGCGAACACCAACCGGTGCAAGGTACCGTTTGCACTGTTTGTCGAGTGAGGCAGACATTCCTCGCCTCACATGGGGAGACCCTTGTGCGAGTTGTGTTGACAACTCGCAGCGTGCACATAGGGACGTGTATTCCCTAAGTTTGCCCTGGGGAAGGGCACACATCTCGGCTGAGATGCGCGACGCGATTGCAAACTTGCAATCCGTCTACAAGCACCTAGGGCGCGTGTTTACCGATGGGCCACAGGACCAATCGGATGGGTCTCGTTATACTGGCGGACGAGACCTTCAACATCCATCAACAGCTGAGAGCGGGGCTCTCAGCTTGTGTAAGAGGGTGGACACCCCCGCCACTGGACGAGGTAGCTCGTCCTTGATCCTGAATCGTCACGGTGATTCAAGATACGCTCCACTAGAAAGCGTTGACCACCGTGAGCATCCACCAAAGGATGTGGTGGAGGAGGAAAGACCTCCTCTAGATGATTCGGCTCACCATCTCGACTTTTGCGAGATGGATCGCGCAACCGATGAATTGCGCGATGACTTGAAGCACGAGCGCGACCGGCGCTACGCTTTGACTGATACCGTGCGGAAGAACCGCAAGGATCGCGAGGCTGATCGGGTGAGAGATCGCGCCGATTATGCCACAGCGCAGCTTCAGGTCGAGCGGGATGTCCGCTCCCTTTATAGCGAGCTGGCGACAGCTCGCGGAGAGATATCTCGGTTGAGTTCCGAGGTATCATATCTGCGCGACCAGACGGATCGTCTGGATCGCGAACGCAAGAACTTGATGGATGTTCTTGAACGTGGGGGCTATATTCATCGGAAGAAGAAGGCTCGTACTGACAGTACGGCCTGAGCTTCCCCACGTAAAACGTAGGATGCGTGCGCATCTGTCGTGGCAATTCGATCGTGTATGCATTGCCATTGCGATGCAACACTTAAAATGGCCCAATGTACTTCGGCAGTAGTTTACTACTGCCGACACTAGTGACTGCGCGTCCAGGTAAGTTTACCGTAGACAGTAGTACTAGGTCATTAACTCTAAATGAAAGAACATTTGCTCTTTAATTCTTGTCTGCGTTTCGTTTCTGACGATCCACCGCATTTGCGATGGAGTCCTGAACGAAACGGACTACCGCCTCTCGAGTCAGCAGGAAGTTCTCTGCTGACTATTTGTTTGGTCTTTCAGTGCGCTTCGTGCGCGCTGCTAAGAGATTGTTCTCTTCTTCAGCGAGGTTGTCTTCTTCCTCGCTGGAATAATCGTTGACGATGCTGAATATATCAGCATCGTCATCATCATCCGAGTCAGTAATAGCGTCGCCGCTATTATTGCGGTGGTGTGCTTCATCGATGTCGGCATTGTCGACATCGGCATCATACGTGACGACGTTAGCGTCGACACGTGATGAGCAAGAGCCAAAACGGTTTTTGCTCGAGCGAGTCCCTCCCCCCTTATCCAAGAGTCTCCTTCTAGATGGGCGGGTACACGTGGATGGCGTTAACCATTCACGTAAAACGGTGTGTGCAGTGTTGAGGCATGCACCGAATGATTGATTGGCGAATTCCACCATGGGTAGGAATTCGCTCCAAATCGAAAACGAGTGGACATATCCTCGAAGGATCTCTTCGAGGACACGGTTCGCACGTTCCGTCTTACCATATGTTTCGGGATGGTCAGAAGTGGACATCGTCAACCGTGTTCCAAGAGAACGGAACACGATTTGCCAAAATGCCGCCGTGAACCGAGGTTCACGGTCGGATACGAGTTCACGGGGTAACCCGTGGTGTAACGGGGTTACACGTCGGCTGGTAGCCGACGATAGGTGTGGTACACACACGAGAGGGGGGTATCCTATAAGGTAATATTAGAACACAGTGAGCGTATCAATTGTTGAAGACTGGTGTCTGTCATCAATTGATTGCAAGATCTTTTAAGAGGTTATTTAGGGCAGGTTAAATATGTTGTTCTAAGGTGTTCTTTTAGGTTAAATGAAGAAATAAATTCAGTTCCCATTTTGATAAACATAAGACACGTGCCTTACGAGGCGTCTTTGATCGGGAGGACAGAAGCAACGCCTGTAAAGGTAGCTTGTCCTCGAGCACTCTGTGCTGTGCTTCATTTGAATCGTTTGGTCCCTCTGGAACGGGGACCGTAAGCTCTCTGAGCTGTTGACTCTCTGAGTCGGGTTCTCTGAACCGAAGTTGCTCATTGAGCGTAAAGTCTTCCTCTGACTTAAGGAGCTGTATAGCTCCGCTAGACTTGGTAGCACTTGTAGTCAATCTACACCTGAGTCGGTAACGACTGATCCTCTGCGAGGATGGAGCAATCCACACCCCTCTCTGAGGCTCAAAAGGTCGCGCTTGATAAGCTGACCGCGGCCGTAGGCCTAGAGTATGTGGAGTTTCTAGCTGCACAGGGTCCCGATGTGCTCAATGCACGAGTCGAGGCCTTTATGCAGTATAAAACGGCCCTGTTGGGCCAGGTTCAAAACCAAGTAGCGTCGGCTATGCCGACACGCTACGTGGCTATGCCACCAGAAGAGGCTAAGCCTCGTCCCCTTCGGGTGGACGTTAAATGTTACTCCGGGAAGGAGGGGGAAAACCTTACCCTCTGGATCCGTGAGATTGAGATGGCCATGGACTCTGGTCTCATCTCACTAGAGAACCAACGGGTCTCTTTGGCTATCTCTAAGCTCGATGGTAGAGCTAGAGAGTGAGCTTTGACGTGTGGCACGTCGGTCAATTTGGCATTTCCCACGTGGGAATCGCTCAAGTTAGACCTCATGCGAGTTTTCTCGCCGCCTAACCAGGCATATCGCGTGCGATCACGCTTCTTATCAACCCGTCAGGGTAAGAGCGAGTTAACGGACTATGTCCAAGAGTTGAGAACTCTAATGGCTGCTATGCAGTCTGACCCTCTCCCTGAGACTGTCTACGTGACAGTCTTCATGGAAGGTCTCCGCACTGGCGTGGCCAGAACCGAGGTTTTTCGGGTTCATCCCTCTACTTTTGAGGAAGCTGTGAGCGTCGCTCAAAATGCTGAGCACAACTTCAAGTCGGCCAGACTTGGTTGGAATGGGTACAACCCAAGCTTTGCGAGGGCGGCCTCTGCGAGGACTTCGGCTTACTGTAAGCCAGAACCGATGGATCTCAGCCATGCTGAAGATGAAGGCGAAGCGGAGCTTCATGTTGCGGAGCAACGACAGGATGTGAGACGCTGTTACATGTGCGGAAGCACTAAGCACTTGCGTCCCACTTGTCCTTTGCGTAAGCAACAACCGACTCCTATGAGTCGAAACCCCAGCCTCAACCAGAAACCTGGTATGGCACGGGGAAACGTCGATACCCAGTAGGCGCGGGGCGCCCTACTGGGGTAGAACTAAGTTCTGTCACATCTCTACGAGATAAAGTGAAACAGGGCTTAGCCCCACTTAGTGCTGTGCCAGCCAGCACAGAGCGTGGATACAAGCCTGGCTTGTTAGTCGCCGAGGCGACAGTAAAAGGCTTTGAGAAGCCGTGGTCGATTTTAATCGATTCAGGAGCATCATG